GTGTGTGTGTGTGTGTGTGTGTGTGTGTGTGTGTGTGTGTGTGTGTGTGTGTGTGTGTGTGTGCGTGTGTGTGTCTGTGTTCATGTGTGTGTGTGTGTGCGTGCGTGCGTGCGTGCGTGCGTGCGTGCGTGCGTGTGTGTGTGCGCGCGCGCGCGTGTGTGTGTGCGCGTGTGCGCATTGCATTTTTATTATAAGTAACTCGATCTGTACTTGTATATTGCATATATATCAGAAGTAGATAATAGGGAATAGTTCCCTATTATCTACTTCTGATATAGGCCCCTATATATATGTAACTGTCTAACTTTTGGTAAATAATTATAAATGAGCAAAGTCATAAAAACCAGGCTTTACCCTTTTTAATCCCAAGCTATAGCTCTTATATTTCATCCATTTTTTCCAAAAGTCGTTGTCAATAAAGATTTCATAACAATAATCACTGATATTTGGTTTCAGCCGGAGAACGCACCTAACACGAGGTGGCGCTACTAATTCGCGGTTCCGCAAAAATCACGGAAGCAGAGGCGGAAGTATCGTGTCTTATCTTGTTACTATGCAAAAGAGCTAGTAATAGTAGTTTAGACTGGTATCGTGTCTTTCCACTATGTGAATAATGACAGTTAACGACTAATGGATGTCCAGACGGTGACGGCACAATCAGTCAAGCTATGTTTAGAGTCAGGGAACCAGTCTACGAGCACCACAGTTCTAGTTACAATTTGCAAAGTTTGTTTGTGCTGACAGTGCTGGAGAGTGTAGTTTTATTTCGTTTATTTGGAGGTAGGTTTGAATGGTTACATAATGGCGCGTGAAACTATCAAAATGTTTGTTGGTACAGTAGTTTAGTACACTACTACTAGTCTGACTCTTAGATCATATCTGATATCAGTTATCCTAGGCTATTGACACTCAGGGCAGAGAGGTAGATTGGTACTCGGAATCGAATGTTATACGCACAGGCACTTGACTTGGGCTCAGTCACAGGCACTTGTAGTCCGCAAATGCAGACGTTATAACTCCGCTTAGACCGAATAATTCTGTCCCATATAACCTTTTTTATATTTTGGTGAGGGTTATATTGGGACAGAACGGGGTTCATTGAAATTTCGTGAGATCGCATGCAAAATGCTAGATACAATAATGTAACCCAAACCCAAGAGGATAGGGTTACAAAAGTGTCCCTATCCTTTTCTGCGGAGGAATGCCCGAGTGAATCACTCGGGCCGGTTTGCTGGTGCGTTTTCAGATACTAGAACTTCCAAACTGGGTTTATTCTCAACACGAACCTTTCTCCGCTATCTGGGAACTTACTATGTATCGCAATACTCTGTATTAAACTAATA